TTAAATAGTAATTTTTATATTAATATCGATATATTATTTTTTCAAAATTTTATGATATATTAAAAATTAAATTGTGTTCAAAAATAAAAATATTATTTGTTCTCAAAACCACTAAAACATGTATTATATCAACATAGATAAATAATAAAAAGAAATATTAAACTTGAAATATATCTGGTTGCATTATGCGAGCACCCTTCTAGTAAACACAAAAAATGGTAAGATTCACACATTAATGAGCCATTTACCAAACGGTTTTTCGGGTAAGCGTTTATCAAGTCACATTACCTTACCGGATGAATACGTTGTGGACCAAGAATCTTACCCGATAAGCGTTTGATGGGTAAATTGTTGTATATGATGCCGTTTTGATGGACTAAAATCTTACATGTAAGTAAATGATAGTGCTAAATTTTACTGGTAAACACTTACCGGGTAAGGTTTGGTAAACGGCCCCTAAACACATAAGTTATCTCAAAAACTTTAGATTAGCAATAGGAAATGTTATATGCATCTCCTTTTATGTCGGAATCTGGTTAAACCGTTTATTTAAAAAATATAAAAGATAAGTCTTAATGTTGATGTTATATGCATTTCCTTTTATGGCAGAATCTGGTTAAGTGAAACTTAGTACATTTGTTATAAAGAATACATTTTGAAATTTTCCTACGTATGTGTCAGTCTAATTGTCCAGATGGTGGTGAATGGTGATAGTATCTTGTGAGAGCCTCGGCTGAAGCAGGATCACTCACATCCCAAACCCCAAACTTGGTCCCTTCTCATCCTGCCGAATAACATATAATAAATCACCTTTAAACAACCAAAAACAGAAATTGTGATCCTCGCACTCAACATAACCAACAATAGATGGTGAGGATCATCATCCACTCTACAGATCATTCCTATTTATGTATCAGAAATGATAAACTAACCGTAACATTGCGTTTGGAAATCTTGCTGATGTTAGCAGAAACAGGTTGTTCGCTCCTCAAGGCGAAGAATTCCACAAACGGAGCAGCATGACCAGGATCTGAGTTTGCATTTGCTACTTGCAAGTTGATCAGTGGAAGAAGATGAAATCCAATGCCATCAACATCACATGCATATTCTCAACACTTTCTCTCTTTCCTCGAACTATTTCATACTAAAGTTCATTTTCCAAATATGTAGCAGGAAGACATCCAACACTACAATATCTACGAACAAGTTCGCCATTTTCTCATAATCACAGAATCTATAATTTCGACAAATAAAAACCATTGCTCAACCTGAATAAAGATCATATACTTAAGAGAGAGAGAGATATCAATATCGTATGGGGAACCCACCTTCCACACATGAAGAAGGTGACTTTATCATCAGGGCCTTTTCTATCTATCTGAATAAAGATCATATACTTAAGAGAGAGAGAGATATCAATATCGTATGGGGAACCCACCTTCCACACATGAAGAAGGTGACTTTATCATCAGGGCCTTTTCTATCTATCTGAATAAAGATCATATACTTAAAACAATATGCAAAAGGACTGCATAAATCGTGTTACATCTACTAAAATAAGCTCTATATCTGGCATCACTATATTTGAATGAAATGTAACATAAAAAAAAGTTGCTTTGCCATGAAATCAGACCTGGATATAGATGCTAATGGACATCGTAGCCTACCAACTGCATCTTTCTGTTGTTGATCCACAACAGATTACTGATTCATCAAGCATTGCTACTTCATGGAATCTAAATTATAGAAAATGGAAGGCATGCAAAGAAACCATAAATTAGGCTATAGCAAGAGAAGATATCATGTAAATCAAAAGGTAACCTTTTTTCCCTCAAGAAGTGTACAAACTATGGTGCCTATACAGCACTCATGTAGCTCAAACAACCAACATTTAATTTCCTTTTTTCATGAAATTATTTTTTTATTTTTCTAGTGTTTCCAACAATGAGGCATTGTTGTCAATTCTCAACACCTAGACCGTACAAGACACCGGCATACTTCTCCAATGAACCACTAAAGAAGTTATCTTTCAACTTTCTGAAAGTACAAGCAGTAAGCAAACTATCGGAACCAGCCTGATGACAAACACCGATTCTTTCAACTTCCAACAGTTCAGCTAGCTTGTTCAATCCGCCATGAAGACTGTTGCAAAACTTCATCAAATGCTTAATGTCAAAAATGGTGGGAAAATACAGGTTGATCAAACTAAAAAACCCAGTTTGTGTATCAGGCAGATTCTGGCAAGTTAGCACCTTCAGCAAATACCCAAAATCATAACCACTATGGAAAGTTACCCAATACACACCACCATTCAAAACAATCCCAGATGACATCAATAGCTCGCCGAACCTCTGAGAATCAATACCTCTTTCATTGTTTTTCTTAAAATCAATACCACTCTGTCTCAAAAGCTCAACGGAATCATTAGCAAAAACATCATCATTCACATTAAATTCCCGGAAATTGAATTGCCAGACGCAATGCTTATCTGTTCCAAACGTGGGAAGGTTACCTTGATCATCAGATAAAGTTAACCCTAATTGGATCAATTTGAGCATGTCCACGTTATCTTTTAACGTCTGGTAATGGTAATCGTTACTGTTCTTAAAATTGCCGACCGGGCGAAGAACGATCCCTGGAAATTCGGTGTCCATTGCTATGTAAGGAAAATCATCAACGAGACCTCGGATCAATGCGAATTCCTCTTCGAGATTGTCATTCCACACCTCTCGAATCTGAATCGAAGCTCCTTTTGACAAAAGCGACATTTCTCATAACAAAAATGTCAAATTTTGATCAAAATTTCGTGGATAAACAAATCATGCATGAAATTAAATGAAACCCCTTCTGAGTCGACCCATATCTGCAAAATATGCAAGTCAGGGAACATCATAAGCATGAAGGATTCAACAAATATGAAATGGAAGTGAGATAAAGAAGTGTTTGAACAGAAATGCAAAACCTTTTGCGATGTAGATCTAATAAATTAGGGTTTCGAATGGAAGAGAAGATTGGGAAATTTTGGGTTTATTTTATTGGGTGAACGCTGTTGAGGGGGACCCTCTCCATGTCCACTATATGGGCTACGTAAAGAGAGAGAAATCGCAGCAAATATATACATTTGATCTATAATATTGTTTTCTTTTCCTAACAGTACATGATAAATACAATAAATAAATTCATATATCTTTTTTATTTTTGATGAAGTTAAATATTAATTTTCTACAAGGTCAAAAACTACAATACCACTAAACCAAAGACCATTTGATTTAAACTATAATATTGTTATCATAAATAAATTATTAATATTATTAAATAAACATTTAAATATCGAATAAGGTGTAAAACATGAGACGTCTTTCATGATTTATAAGAGAATTAAGTTTATTTTTAATATTATATTGGTAAAATATGGGTTTGTTTCACCTTGTTATATGGAGTGAAGGTGGAACGCGTATGTTCCATTTTGTTCATGCGTATTCCATATTAAAATCATGTCAAATACGAAATAGTGATTTGGGTTATATTTTGTCACGTCTAGTGTACCAAGTGAACCCTTATGATATATTAGGGGTGGACTTGGTACAGTACCAGGTTTTTTTTCTCTAATACCGTGTACCAACCAATTATAATTAATAAGCAAAACCGTATACCATATAACAACCGACTATACTTGGTATCAACTTTTTTCGGTTGATACCAGTTTTGTACCAACTTCATATTATATACGAAAACTTGCCAAAAAAAAATCAAAATTAAGTGAAAATTTGAGTTTCTAGGTAACACATGTGAATATGTGATGTTTAACGGGTTTCATTGCTATGAATAAAACTTGCAGACATTCGTTCAAATAAAATAATTAAAGTTACAGGGTTTAATAGCAAATACATTAAAAAAAAAGCTAAAAAAAATGGGTCGGTACCATGGTACGTGGGAAATCTATAAATTTTTGTAACGAGTGTCGAAATTGAAGTAATGACGACGTGTCCACGTAGTTGACAATGTCCTCTATGTAAACACTTCTATCTTATTTATCCCTTTGATAAGGGCGATATTCCATAAAAAAAAACTTTCAAATTAATCCTAGGAAAATCATTCAAATCAACAATTATATATTAATATATTATAAAGCATTTGACAACAATTCTTAAAAACAATTTTTAAACATGAGGTACTGTTTATTGAGGCATAATACTTAAATTTCAAGATTACAAGTAATTTTATGTAAGTACAACTTATTAAAACTCCATTTTAAAATTCGTGTAACTAATGCAGATAAACATAATCAAATATATAATAATTTTTTTTATATTAGCTAATAAACCCTAATAATAAATTAACAACAAAAATTTAGCAGTTTGACATCAAATAACTGACCCTAACCCTAACCCTAACAACTAACAATTTTTTAAACAATTATACATTAACCAACAAGTTTTAAGAGATTGTTTGACAATTGCTAAATGGTTTGGTACAGAATGATCAAGTACAAGTTGTTTGTTTACCTCTTAATAGTTTCATTAAGAGACGGTATTTTAATCACTAAGAAATTAATCTTTTTTGACAAAAAAATTTTTGCCCCTTAATGGTTATAAAACACTTTGAATAATTTTGTATCTTGGGCCTACGTTAACCATTCAGCGCCCTGATTTCATTCTGAACAATTACCAAATACTTATAATTCATTTTGCATGACATCATAAGAGCTTCTTAATCATTCTGCACTAAAGCATTAAGCAATTATTAAACAGTCCCGAAGTCAAAATAATTAAGAAACTCATATGATACAGTACAAAATAAAATATGGTTGTTTGGTAATTGTTTAGAATGAAATTAAGATGTTGAATGATTTATGGAGGCTCATTATACAAAACAATTCAAAGTGTTTTAGAACCATTAAAAGACAATTTTTTTTTACCAAACAAGATTCATATTTTAGTGATCAAGATGTTACCTTTTAATAAAAAGATTAAAAGGTAAACAAAAAGCCCCTAACCTTAACAAGTTATAATTAATAATTAATGTAAAAACAAATTATATAAAAAATTAACAATGAAATTGGGCTACAAAATTATTAGGTAAAACCTTATTTTTGGGTTCAAATTGTATATATAATTATAATGTTTTTTTATAACATAATTTTTTTGGGAAACTTTATGTGGTCATTTGATCCCCAAATGAAAGCAGGATTGGTGACTCGTGATATATGACTCTCAATAATTAATGATTCGTTTATTCAAATGCTTATTTGATAAGTGCTTATTGATATGAATCAACATTATCATATATTTTGATGCGTAAGAATTTAGTACATCAAAACATATCGAATGCAACAGTTTACTTGGTTGGCGCTTACCTGGGTAAGAGTAGCAATCCTCACTTATCCGGTAATAATCTCCATCATTCTCATTTATCTTACCCGGTAAGACTCTTGGCCCTTCTCATGTTCATCCGATGAGAAAATTTATCCGGTAAGCACTTATCAAGCAAGCATTTAGTGAACGATCCCTAAGTTTGTATATTTAGTATGGTATTATCAACTGATAATAATTAGTTGATACCAATTTAATCGGTACACATATTGGTTGATTCAGTTTGGTATAAAATTATCAACCTTACAAAATATGCGGTAACTAAAAAAATACAAAGACGGAGGACCAAAATTGCAATTTTTGATTGAGTGGGGAGTTCACATTTTTAAACACGAACAGCGACGAGAGCCTCTGCCTCTCAGCTTGAAGCTTCTGCTCAGTAGCCGGCGCCGAGTTCGCTCACTCTCAGTCTGTTCCGCCGCTCCGGCCAGTTCTTTTGACTCTCACTCTTTTAAGCTCTCACACTCACTTCGTCACTCTCTCAATCTCTCATTCAGGTTTTGTCACAAAACCTAACTCAAATTTATAATTTTGCCCTAAATTTGAGATTAGTCATTTGCCCTAAATTGATTACTTATGGTGTTATACAATTATGTTTACATGATTTTTTATTGATTTGTTTACATGATCTTTTTGTTTGTTTTGAGTTTTTACATTTTAGTAATTGATTTTTGACTCTTGACCTATATTTTTGCCATACATCTGCCTTATATCTGTTAATTTTCTCAACCTTAGTTGTTGTCTTGTTGATGTTAATATGCTTAATCAATCTGGGTTCTTTAAATATGGTTAGTTTATTTTAATTTGCAAAACATCCTATTTAGTACTAAGATCCAGGATGCATAAGGAAACAAAGGGAGTAGTTGGAGTTTCGGGAAAGATGATGGACAGTATTATTTAGTTCTTTTGGTTGATGCGTTTGATTTGTTTAATTTGTATGCTTGGTCATTACACAGTTTTCAGAGAAGCAAAAGGCGTTCAGAACTTTGAAATGTGTGTTTAAGTAATTATCTGGCCTAGTTAGAAGATTGTACATGCAATTTCTGATGGAATTTGTATTAGATGAAGCATTCAGTGGACAAAATTTCAGCATGGACTTGTGTTTTAACATTTCATCTGCTAATGAGAGAGCATTTATTTGCTATTTTGGTTTTTTAAATTTTATGCAAGCGCAATGGAAGATAGAACAATGATTTAGTTGTATCAGTAAGTAGAAGGAACAATGTCACTGTAAAACTTGTATTTCCATGTCATCTTCTTTCTAATTTATCACCTTACATGGAATAGCATCAGCCTTTTAATGTATCGATTTCTTTTTCTTTGTGCTGAATGTATCTCGTTTTTTTTTGTTTTTGTTCGGAATGTTTATTGTGAAAGCTACTCTGCTTGTTAGTGCAAGTTGTTTTGATGGTCCTGGTCCTTTGTTTGTTCATAACATGTTTTTAAGAGGATGAAGGAAAATGCATCAGAATTTATTTTACCAAAGCAAACCAAACCAAACGAGCCCAGTATATCCCGCACAGAGGTAGGGTCTGGGGTAGGATGTATGCAGACCTTGCCTCTAACGGAAGGGGTCTACCTTGCCTCTAATTGAAGGGTGTATAGATGTTTCTATGAAGAACCTCTGCTTGCAAAACAAAAATTACAAGCCATAGAAGTTTGTGGAAACAAGCAACACGTACAGTGAAAAAAAAAGGAGCAGAGACACATGAGATCATAGGACATAAGATAAAACCAACAAGGAAACCTGAAGCAATTAAACTAAAACTACTAGAACAGTAAGAAAAATTAAACTAGCATACAGGAAAGCATGAAAAACTAGGAATAGCATAAATAAGGCATGAAAAATTGGAAAAAAAAAAACTAGAACTCTCTACCTGACGTAGGGTTTAACGTAAGTGCCATCCCTTCTCCCTTACCTGCCCTCACCTTCTCCAACTCTCTATCAGAAGTTTACATACTGGTGGTAGTGAAAGTATTGTGTACACAACTTTCTAATGCAAACGATATGACATACTAAAGTACCAAAGTTATCCTACCATAAGTAAATAGGGGGTGTTTTCTGGCACTTCTACTATTTTCTCATTTAAATGCAAGTTTAATGGTTGCAATTCATCAAATTACATCATAATTTGATTATACCAGTGTGGAACAATTTAAGTTTTGCATGATTCCCTTTAATTGCTTACAAGTTACTTAATGTTGACCATAATGTTACTTCGCCTGACACGATTTTCTCACATGTTTTGGACAGTTTGACTCAAAGATCTGATCAACAGAAAACATGGCAGGGTAAGTCTCGCTTATGCAATATTGTAATGCCTGCCTTTGAGCTATGAGACCGTATTATTTCATTTAGCATGACTACTTTTGATTTTGGTCCTCAAATAAGTGTGTTTTCCATTAAATACATTTGCCGCTTCTTTTTATCTAACCGACACTTGTTTAGATTCTAACTTAGTAACTTCCAAGGTTGCAATTTTGGTTTGTTCTTGCAATCAAGCTGTTTCCTGACTCTAGACAAATGGATTTCTATTGTTGCGTATTGTTTATAGTGGTGGTTTCTCTCTAAATAAGAAAACTGTTGATATGAATTCATATACTTCTTAATTTGCTGAATTTTTTTAGCTGTAGCTTTTCAACCTTAAAATTTCAAAGAGAGTATATCGGAATATTATTTACTATCTTCGTTTGGTACCTACAGTCTCACATGTCTCCAAGATTTAGGTGGCACTTGTTTGGGTTTGAATAGGTCTGAATGAATTTGGGCCTATGATTTGCTCAAAGATCATGTCATTTGGTAAAAAAATGGACGTCTGAAGTGCTCAGTGATTTTTTGGAATCTTTATGTGCTTATCTTCTGACTGAGTGACATTAAAACCTTTGCCACAACCCATGTTTACCCTTAAAATTATCCTGGTGACATTTGCTGCAAAATGCTCATCAATTTGCATTTAGAAATTTTATATTCTTAATGTTGCATTTAGGCTATGTTGTTGAGCGTTGCTCACTTGCTCCCTCTTTCTAAAAAGAGAGCTGCATATAGGTGATTGATGTCTTGACTGGGATTTTCTTAACACAAATCGATATGTGTTTAGCAGCCATAGTTGTTAAAAGGTCAAGGCGCTCTTAGGCGCAAAGGGGTCCCAGGCCTAGGCGCTAGGCGCGGGCCTCAGGAATGTGAGGCGCATCTTATAGAAAGTGTATAGACACACCGTTATACACAACTCAAATATGTAACAAGTACTCCAATGCAGAAACCAACAGTACTTCAGTAGAGGCAGAAGGGTTGGATTTAAAGCGTGAGCCATGAGGGAGAAGTTTTAAGGTCTGGGCATTTATAGAGAAAGAGGCTCGAATATAAGAATTGGGTATTTAATATTAGGGTTTGACACTTTGACTTATATCATCTATTTAACAAATCATTTTTTAAGAAGTCGATGAGAAAACTTATTTAATATTGGGGTTTGACTTGGTACTTAATAACTCTTTATGAGGCGCGTCTAGGCCACAAGGCTCCTCAACCAAGGTGCAGACCTTAGTGAGCCTCATAAATACGCCTACTCTCGACTTTAAAAAAGCCCAAGACCTTGAGCCTTATCAGAGCCTAGGCGCGCCTGCTTTAACAACTATGTTCGCAGCACATGTATTACTAGGATATTCTATTTGTAACACTTGTTAAACATTTATATACAATTAGCTATTTGAATTCTCAAAAGTTTTAGTCTCTAAATCAATTCAACTGCAACGAAGTAACCTGCTAGGTATTCAGTATTCTTAGTCAACTTATAGTTTTTTTTTTATTAACCTGGATATCCAACCCGCTATGCGAGCCGACTAATCCCAGGGCGACCACCTGCTTTGCAGATAGCCCGGAGTCACCGCATTTGAACCTCCATGGCCACAAGGGGTTTTTATTCCTCCTTAGATTTGAACCTGGGACCTCCAGTTACTTTACCCAGAGGGTTATGTCTATTAATATTTAAGTAGGGAGTCGTGGGAGCTAGGCTTGTAAAACAGCCTTTCTACAAGTAAGTTTGAGCTATCTACCGTGTTAACCATCCAGGTCAGTCTTGGGAGCTAGGCACTGTCTCTAAACAGGGTGATTATTAATTTGGATCTATGAAGGACTTTGACCATTATCCATCTCTCCCCACAAGAACACTATCATGATGGAGGAGTTGATGTAAACTTTCTTAGCATCCAGCGGATATGATATTCTGACAAAATTCATACTGTTGTTCTCATATCTTTTTTCTTTCTGTGTTGGATCAGGAGTTTTTGAAGAATCTTGCTGGTGAATAACTTGGGTGCAGTAAACATCAATTTGAAATGGGTGTTAATTTGGATGCTCTAGACTCATTTCGTCAGTCACTTGTTGCTCAATCTCAATTCAAGAAAAGAAAAGTAATTTTGGATAGCGATGATGATTCTTCAGCTTGTTCAGTATCATGTGAGATCGAAACTTCCCTGCCTACTCTGCAAGCTTCTGATTATTTCATGGAACCTTGTTTGAGTGAATTGGCCATGAGGGAACTCATGGATCCAGGTCATTGCAGCAGGGTTCAAAACTTTACAGTTGGTAGATATGGTTACGGAACTGTTAGGTTCTTGGGGGAAACTGATGTCAGATGGTTAGATTTAGACCAGATTATCAAGTTCAGGAGGCATGAGATTGTTGTGTATGAAGATGAAGCTGCCAAGCCTGTGGTTGGTAAGGGACTTAACAAGGCTGCTGAAGTAACTTTAGTGCTACAAATAAACTCAGCGAAATTCAGCAGAGAAGGTCAAGTAATAGAGAAGCTGCGGCTAAGTGCAGAAAGGCAAGGAGCAAAGTTTATTTCTTTTGACCCAAACCAAAGAGAATGGAAATTCTCTGTTCACCATTTTAGCAGGTTTGGTCTGAGTGATGATGAAGAGGAAGATGTTGCAATGGATGATGTGGATGCAGAGGTTCAAGAACCAGTTACGAATAATGATAGTGATGGTTCTGATCTTGATGAAGAGCGTGCCTTAGTGGATCCACGTCTACTTTCCCATTCCCTTCCTTCACATCTTGGTCTTGATCCTGTTAGAATGAAGGAAATGAGAATGATGATGTTTCCTGCTGAGGAGGAAGAAGAGGATGAGGAATTAGACGGAAGATTTTCACACCATAGGCTGCCGTTTGGTAAGGAACATATGAAATCTCCGATACAGCACGCTTCTAGCAAAACAGTGCAAAGATCCAGCCCCCCAGCAATTCGGAAAACTCCACTAGCTTTGCTTGAGTACAAGCCGGGCAGTTTTGCTTCAAGCCCTAATGGGTCTATTTTAATGACCCAACAAAACAAAGGCCTTCCTTTGACAATAACAAAGGTTCAAGGATTTAAGCTGGAACTGAAGGAAACACCAGTAACAGGAAGCCATTCTCGGAACATAGTTGATGCAGCATTGTTCATGGGAAGGTCATTTGCTATAGCCTGGGGTCCAAATGATCTTCTTCTTCATTGTGGTTCTACTGCTGGCAATAGTCTTCAGAAGCGGGAATTGTCTTCTACTATAAATTTAGAAAAAGTTGCAATTGATAATGTCATAAGAGATGAAAATAACAAAGTACGGGAGGAACTTATTGATTTGTGTTTTGATTCTCCACTAAACTTTCATAAAGAACTAAATCACGAAACAAAGGAAGTTGTAGTTGATTCATATAAGATAAAGGTTCAGAAGCTTGTCTGTGACCGCTTGACACTTTCACGTGTATGCCGGAGCTATATAGGAATTATTGAGAAGCAATTGGAGGTACCTGGATTATCTTCTTCGGCTCGTGTGGTGTTAATGCACCAAGTGCTTGTTTGGGAACTGATAAAGGTTCTTTTCTCCTTGAGGGAAACGAGTGAGCAATCAAATTCTGTGGGGCATAACCATGAGGAGTACATGCTGAACAATTCCAAGGAAAGTTCATTAGATGCTGATGATGAAGCACTCCCTTTGATCCGAAGAGCAGAATTTAGTTACTGGTTGCAAGAGAGTGTCTGCCACCGTGTACAAGATGAAATAAGTTCCTTGAATGATTCAAGTGATCTGCAACACTTGTTTTTGCTCCTAACTGGTCGACAACTTGATGCAGCTGTAGAACTGTCTGCTTCTAGGGGAGATGTGAGACTTGCTTGTCTGCTGAGCCAAGCTGGTGGGTCCACCGTCAATCGTACTGATATTGATCGACAACTTAATCTTTGGAAAACCAATGGTCTAGATTTCAATTTTATCGAGAAAGACAGAATAAGGCTTTTGGAGTTGCTTGCTGGTAATATTCATCAAGCTTTGGGTGGCATGAATATTGACTGGAAAAGGTTTTTAGGATTGTTGATGTGGTACCAGCTTCCACCCGATTCTGATTTGACCTCCATTTTCCAAAGCTATCAGCGCCTTCTTGAAGATGGAAGGGCCCCATATCCAGTTCCTGTTTACATAGATGAAGGGTTGGTAGAAGATGGTGTAAGTTGGAGCCCTGGTGACCGTTTCGATCTTGCATATTATCTTATGCTTCTTCATGCTAGAGAAGAAAAAGAATCTAGTATCTTGAAGACCATGTTTAGTGCATTTGCTTCAACTCATGATCCACTTGATCACCATATGATTTGGCATCAGCGTGCAGTGTTAGAAGCAGTTGGCACATTTAGTTCTGATGATCTTCATGTTCTTGACATGGGACTTGTTTCCCAATTGCTATGCTTAGGACACTGCCATTGGGCCATCTACATTGTGCTCCACATGCCATATCGTGATGATTATCCGTATCTGCAAGCTCGTGTTATCAGGGAAATATTGTTCCGGTATTGTGAAACGTGGAGTGCTCAAGAGAAACAACGCCAGTTTATTGAGGAATTGGGTGTTCCATCAGCTTGGTTGCATGAGGCCTTGGTGAGTTGCTTTCTATTATATCAGACAATATTTGACAATAGTCAAAAAGCGGCAAACCTCATTGGTCTTCTTTACTGTACTGTTATTATTGCTCATCTTTTTGGCTGTTGTTATCAGCTTTGAACTTTTGAATCCGATCTACACCCATTTAGGGCTTAGTTATTACTCCCTCCGCTCCTTCCAAAATAAGTGTCCACCTTCAAAAGTAAATGCCTACTTTCCAATTCTACCCTTAATCATGTGATGGGATCATTACTTCCTATATTATTAAGGGTAAAATTGTCATTTAGTTATTTAAAAAGTGATATGACCACACACTTTTAAAATTGTGCCTTTTTCAATGTGGACATTTATTTTGGGATGGAGGGGGAGTATAAAGTAATGGTGGTTAAAATGGCAAACTAGTTTAAGTACCAACAGAAGTTAGATATTGGATGAACTAGATAATCTCAGTCGAACTTATCTGACAATTGACATTGATGATCCAGATATTTCCATATAACTTATATTTGAAATCTCAGTTCTTTTTAATGGCATTATCTTATTTCATTTCCACAGGCCGTATATCATGCTTACTACAGAGATTCTTCTAAGGCCCTTGAACACTATCTTGGATGTGCCTTTTGGCAAAAAGCACATTCAACCTTCATATCTTCGGTTGCCCATTCTTTGTTCTTGTCAGGTAAGGGTCTATGTATTATCTACTAATCTTGTCTGATTGTTCATTGTCCGTAGTTCGTTGCAAGTTCTATCAGTTGTTTTACCATATAGATCTATGCGTTCTAGAGCTTCGCTTGTCTAGATGTTTATATCCGAACGTAGCAAGTTACATGACTTCTTTGTCTATAATTAGATGCACGATCTATAAAAACAGAAGGACAAGTTTTTCCTGTACACATTTCATGTCACAGGGCACTTAAGCAAGGAACTGGCATTATTTCTAGTAAATTAAGCTCAATAGTGAATGATGCTATAGACAGGAATGGACATCCCAGGCAAAAAAGCAACTCAGGATATCTTGGTATACACAATATAAGCATTTCAGTTCATGTTTGTTTTGAACCAAAGAGGTTACTTGCTAATACTCGCTCTGTTCCAAAATAAGTGTGCACATTTCTATTTTATTTTGTCGCAAAGTACGTATCCACTTTCAAAAAGGACCTATTTTCGAATTCTACCTTAAATATGAGATGGAAAAATTTATTAACCTCTCTTATTAAGGGTAAAATTGTCATTTAGTTAATTAAGAAGTGTAATACTTGCATATTTCTAAAACTATGTGCCTTTTTCATTGTGGATGTTAATTTTGGGACGAAGAGAGTAATATTTAGAGAGATGATGGCCTCTTGGTTGAATCATTGGGTGGTTTCCAACTAGTATGCCTAGAAACAACTACCATTGTACGTATGGCTTTACTAGTTACTCTGTGTTTTTCGTAGTGTTAGTTTGAGTACAATCCCGTACCTGGGTAATCCTTAGTTATTTCAGATTATTTGCATTGTCGCACACACCTTGCTTGATCTGACTCTTGTTTACGGACTCGCACACACCTTGCTTGATCTGACTCTTGTTTACGGACTTGCTTGATCTGACTCTTGTTTACGGACTGGAGAAAAGATTCTTGTCCGATGATATAAAGTACTAAATAAGCATCCACTTTCAAAAGTGACTACTTTCCAATTATACCCTTAGTTATGAGATGGAGAAATTCATTACTCCCTCTATTATTAAGAGTAAAATTGTCATATAGTTAACAAAAAAGTTTAATAATAACATATTTTTAATGTTGTGTGCTTTTTTATTTATTGTCGTCATCTATTTGGGACGGGAGGAGTAATCCAGTGCATACATCTAATGCATCGAAATATAAAACATTAGTATCAATTTGTTTACTCACAATTGTCATGGTTTAGGCAAACACTCAGAGATATGGACGCTTGCAACTTCTATGGAAGACCATAAATCCGAAATTGAGAATTGGGACTTGGGAGCTGGAATTTATATATCGTTTTATACACTTAGAAGTTCTTTGGAGGATGATGATGATACAATGACCGAACTGGTATGACGCTCTTTCTGATATATATATTAATATATATATATATACACACACACTATATTAATATATATACACACACTATATTATAAAGCATTTGACAAAAACTTTTAAAAACATTTTTTATACATGAAGTACTGCTTATTGATGCATATTACTTAAAATTCAAGATTACAAGTAAATTGTACGTAAGTACAACTTATCAAGCTCCATGCTTGAATTAGTGTAACTAACTGTAGATAAATATAATTTCTTATTTTAAATATAAAATCTAGAATATAATTAGGATAACTATTGAGTTCTAACATAATACTTAGTTATTATCTTTATAAAAATTATATTATTAAAACAAAAGTAAATTACTTCGTCATTAAATCTATATTAAATTATAATAAAAAATTGAATCAAAGAAATTACACAAAAAATAAGAACTTTTATATTTTTTTAATTTTTATGATATTTTCAAATTTATATTTTATTAAGAAAAACAATATTGTTTGCTCAAAACCACATAAATTCGTATTATAACATCCATAGAGACCAAAAAATAAAATGAAACATTGAAATCGAGATATATCTTGTTGCATTGCGCGAGTACCCTTCTGATATCTATATATATATATATATATATGTATGTGTATATATATATATATATATATGTATGTATATGCTTCAAGAATGATTATAATTTATAGGCCAGTTATTAGCTGAACAAAAGCTTGAGCAACGCCAACAACGATAATGATGAAGTAAAGAGCTAAGAATATGGTCAAACAAATGAAACTGGTCAACCAACTTATAAAAAATAACTATTACTCCCTCCGATCTCAAAATAAATGTCCACACACAATTTTCAAAATATATAATACTTTTAATGAAGATGACAATTTTACCCTTAATAAATAAAGGGGGTAATGAATTTCTCCAGAGCAAGATCGAGGATAGAATTGGAAAGTATGCACCTACTTTGAAAGTCTGAGACTCGTTTTTGAGACAAACTAAAACAGAATGCAACCTTGGTACTCTTATTACAGGCTTCTCTTGAGAACAAAAATGATGCATGTAGAGACTTCTTTAGTCGCTTGAAAGGGTCTTTGGCAGTCTGGGAAAGCTGCTTGCCTATTGATGCCAGGTACTTACAAAAGATGATTCTCTTTACATTGTGTGATGGCATGTATATATAGATTATAGATTAGATGTTATATACTTTGTTATGAATTGAGGATGAATGTGACGGTCTTAAGACATTTTCGATTACATGACCTCTGATAGCACTACTTGTAGATGGGGGATTAGGGTAGTAGACTAGATGCAGGATCCTGTATCAAGGGGGTGTTTGGGATTGCTTATAAAAATAACGTATTGACTTATTCTAGTGTGGCACTAGTAATAAGCACTTTCGAGTGTTGGGATAAACAGTTTATACCGGTGTCAAACCGGGTGACAAGGAGTTTTTGAAAAAGTTAAACTATTCTAACTTATAATAAGTTGACAAGGACTTTTATAGAAAAACATAAGTTTCAAATAAGCAATCCCAAACACCCCCTAAGCGTGCCTGGGCCTAGGGGAATTAGCGATTTAGGTTAGGGTTATGTTTTGCCTTACCAGACTTCTTTGTATGTTTTCGATGCCCCTACTCGTTACTTCCTTTTTCTTATTTTTCTTTTTATGTGTTCATCGTGTGCTAGTTCTTACTCCTTTTACACGTTTGCTCACACTCTTGCACAAAGCCGGGGTTTTCACGGGAACAACCGCTCTACTATTTGAAGTAGAGGTCACAAGGGTGTGTAAAAAGTCATCTGATCCATTTATGACCTACTGGCCATAATTGGATCGGATTGGATCCAAAATCCAAAATTGGTATGTTATTGATGGCAGTTAGAATCCAATAAAAGCGAATCAATTCAATCCAATGACCGTCCAATTACTCATTCATTTACCATATATATAATCAATGATATTTCACGATACTGTTTTTAGTTGATATTTATATGTAGTGTTTCTTAAGAAATTGGAAAAATATATAAAGAATTGGTTGAAATGATGGATTAACTGGATCCAAGTATAGGATGTGTCCAATGTGATCTGGTGGATAACCAATAGTTTTATCCGATTGATGGAACTGACAATCGAATCATCCATTGGATTGGATGGCAAAATCCAACCAATGGATGACTGTGTTGGATTGAATGGATCCATCTTAATCCATTGGATTTCAACCGATGAACACCTGTCATATCTATAACCCCCCCCCCCCAAGATCATTTTAATTTTTTGGAACCAAATAATTTGATCTCCGTCTATTTGATCTTTTTGTCGTTCTCGTAACACGTGTCTTTCAAACAATTTGTCTCAGAATGGTGTATGCAAAGATGGCAGAGGAGATTAGTGATCTACTTGTAGCCGATTCTGGCGAAGGGTCGACCACCGAGGTTAAGCTAAGCTGTTTCGACACCATATTCGAGTCTCCCATCCCTGAAGACCTTCTTTCATGCCACTTACAGTCCGCGATATCGCATTTTACCTTGCATCTTATGGAATCGGCCTCGTAACATAACATAAACTCATCTTCAGCAAAACCGAATATTTGCCTACAAGAACAAAAAAGGCTCTTTCATCTTGTATTGTTTGTGTAAACACCATTTGTGAGCCAAATTTTTGTAATTAATGCTTGTAATGAGGAATTTACAAGGACGGTAAACTCGTATTTGTGTTCGACTCATATATGTGTGATACGGAACTGATATATGCGTTTGCAGAGGTGGATCTAGGAAATTGTTGGTGGCATGGTTTGATTATAAGAAATAAATCTAGACATTTTCCCAAAACTCGTTATATATATACTAGAAGGGTATTTGTAACAATGTAGCAAAATACATTTTGATTTTAATTTTTTTTTATCTCAGTTGATGTTATAATACAGTTTTATGTGATTTTGAGAAAACGATAATGTTTTTATTTTTAAATAAAATATAAATATGAAAATATCATAAAAAGGTGAAAAAAATAATATTGATATTAGTATCAAACTAATTATTTAAAATTTCTTCATTTTTTGTGTATTTCTTCAGTTCATTTTTTTTAATTTAAAAATATAATTTTTTTATAAAGATAATAATTAAGTATTTTTGTTAGATATCTTATCTTAATTATATTTTAGATTTTTTTTATATTTAAAATGAAATGTTTATTCTCTATTTAATTATGTTTATCTGTAATTAATTACACGAATTCAAACATGAATTTTTAATAAGTTGTACTTACGTAAAATTTACTTGTGATTTTGAATTTTAAGTAATATGCATCAATAAACAGTACTCCATGCATAAAAAAATGATTTTTAAAAGTTTTGACAAATGATTTATAATACATTATAGATATAGGGGCTTAAACATTTGAGAATCTCATATATTGTGGTAACTGTGAGAACTATTATCATAAAGTATTGTTTCACATTATTTTTTTCCATCTAAGACTTAAATTTAATCTAATTAACATATTTGTTTCATATGTATTCGGTTCAAAACAAGATTGAATTGGGCTAGAACTTCATAAGGTTTTAGAGTTTTAATTTGACATGTGTGGTTTAACAATTTATCATTCAACTCTCATCTCCCTTATTTTTGTTCCACCTAATTTGGTGAGGGGAAAAAGATGCATTTATGTCCCAATCAAACCATATTCCATCCTAATCAAATGTCGCACCAAACCTAAAACAATAAATCTGTATTATGTCATGTCCCGCGTACAAATGCATCCGTGGTGTTTTTTTGTTTTTGTTTTTGATTAACCTGAATATCCAACCCGCTATGCGAGCCGACTAATCCCAAAGCAAAATTTTTAGAGACCTTTTATAAACACACACAAAGGATTTACTTGTTACTTAAGCATGCATATTATGTCAGTGAAGACTTGGTGTGAATAACCACTTGCTTTGCAGATAGCCCGGAGTCACCGCATTTGAACCTCCGTGTCCACAAGGGGATTTTTATTGCTCATTGAATTTGAACATGTGACCTCTTGGTACTTTTGACTTTGGAGCCAAGCTCAAACCAAATCACGCACCACCTTGTGCATATAGATTTTGCTTATATGCTTATATATTCTTTTACCAAGGAATATTGTGAATTATTGGAATCTCGATCCTTGTAATTGCTTTAGAATCTAATAAGAAGGAAATAAAGGTGTTTTCATGGTTTATTCTCACCCCCATGACCTTGAATTGCCAACGATCATGGAGCTTCTTTCTACCAAAGAAAATATGATGTTGATGCTATTAGATATATATTATTCCGATTAAAGATTTACAAGAGATCAGTCTTATCAAAGTTGAGTCAAGAATCGAAATTTTCAGATCCGGTTCTCAAGGCCATTAACTGGTTTTTAGTCTAAAACGGAAAACATGTTTAAATCCAGCAAACCAACCAGAGGCGAGCCTAGATTTTTTTCCGACTTGTGGCACCATTTGAGTAGAAGAAATGAAAGTATGGATAGTTTCAAAAAATTATCATTTGTTGGGCAGTTCTTTACTTTTCGTATGTAAGGTGTTGTATTTGGGAATTTTATTACAAATTTGTTCAGAAATATAATGAATATGAAATTAACAGCCAAAAACTAAGAAAAATGACTGAAACGGTATTCGAACACACGCTTGGGATGGGAGAAAGGCCGTCCAAACCAACTCCGTCAAAACAAACTTGTGGTATTATTGTAATTTCAAAATAGTGGCACCCAACATTATAATACGGTGACATTTTTCATGATCCTAATTTTTTTTTTACATTAAGTGTTGGTTTGTGCCATCGTATCTTATATATCAGGTCTGCCCTTGAACCAACCAGTTCTCCTTAGACTTTCTTCTCTCTCTCTCTTTATATATATATATATATGTATATACCATGTAAAATCTGCACTTTTCACGGTGAATATAACGAAGTAACCCAAAGGGTTATTAGCTCAATAGTACCCAGGTTAGAGTCCAAGATGTTTAAGTTTTTTTATGTCATACAGATGCTATAGAGGGAGGTACCTAAAAAAATAAAAAATTGAAGAATATCTGATAATCATTCATCTAAACGGTATATATATATATATATATATATAGAGAGAGAGAGAGAGAGAGAGAGAGGAGTGATCAAATAAAAACCGCCCTCATTTGTGTAAACCGTGCAAACCATCTTCATCCGTCGATTTCATTGTTTAATCTTATGAAATTTTTTCATGAAATTGTTTAATTTTGTGAAATTGTTTCATATAATACTTTTTTGATCAAATTGTTTCATATATGGTTGTGAAATTGCTTCATATAATACTTAATGAAACCGTTTCATGTATTTCTCTAAAATTAATGAAACTGTTTCATATATTTCTCTAAAAATTAAAATAATGAAGATGATAATATCTATGATTAACACCCTCCACAATAAAAATGATTAATCAACCTCTCATAATTACAAAAAAATGAACAAAATGAAAAATTATGATTGGTTGAATGAGGTTTGCACGGTTTGTACAAATTGAATGGTTTGCATTTGATCACTCCCCTATATATATATATATATATATATATATATATATATATATATATATAGGTAATTGAAATTGTTTTATTATGCATGTGTAAATATTATCTACATGAATATATCTAACAAATTACATGTATCAACATGTAGATACCGTCCAAATAAACGATTATACTCATATTTTCAATTTTTAAAGGTTTCCCATTTACCCGTATATCAGGGATGTGCAAAAAGTCAACTGATTCAATTACAACCGACCGATGATGATTGGATCAAATCGTATCGAAATTTTCAACATCCAATTTGAATCAATCGGTTCTCGGATGACAGATTGACAATCCAAAACTGATCAAAACCGAACCGAACCGAACCAATTGACTATCCAATAAGAACCGACCGAACCCATCCAATCAATAATTAATATAAAAATATATTATCTATTTATATAGTTATTAAAAAACAAAAGAAAAGTTCACATCGGCATCGGAGAGAAAAAGAAAAACACAAACCTATCCAAATCAGGCGCCGCACCACCGCTCAACACCGCCTCAGCACCGGAGCAACACGAAAAGTCGACCACTACTCTCAAGTCGGGCGATTAGCAGCTGTATACACTCCCACGTCTCCTATTAGCAGCACTCTACTATCTACTCTCTTGATTTAGAAACTCTTTAAAAGGACTTCTATTCGAATGGACGTCAACCGATGAACAGTCCTTCCATATATTATATACTTCAAATTGAGCAAAGTAAATCACGAACCAAGTCCTCTCGAACGCACCTAGTTCGATCCCGGCTCCCAACTTCACCCTCTCAATCGATCTCCTTCCGTTTATATTCTCTCAGCGTCTGTGAAATTTCTTAACAAAGTTGAAGCCAGGTAAACTCCTAAATTCTCTTCCCTATTCGAATCCAATTTTTTATATCTGTGTGTTTCCGGCAATGGGATTTGTAATTTAGTCTTATTTGGGCGTGTTTTTGGTTATGATTGGTTTTGACATTGAAATTAGGGTTATCTTACTGAAATTTATATAATTCAAGCCATGGAAATACCTAATCACCCCAGGATTAAGTTAAATTCAATTATAAATAACTGCGTGTTTAACACAATATCATTTGTAATTCTAGTCGATTTATTTGGATTGTGTTAAGTTTTGACTTGCTTGGAAATTAAGTTGGTAGTATCTTGGTTTAATGCACAGAAGGTGTTTGATGTTTTATCTGTTAGTAGTTCTGTTTGCTTTGGACTAGTCTTACGAGTCATTTTTTCTCCCACATGGATTTCTACAAGTTTCCTTTTTAAGTATATAATATTTATATACTGCAAAACTAACTAACACTCCTCACCTTTGGTAAGGCTTGAATCCTTGATGTCCAAGGACGTTGGGATCTATTGGTAACCAAGATACCGTTGGGCCAATAACCCTTTGGTGCCACGAGTTTGTTGATAAGCCACACACATCATTTGTCATAAATTTGGGTAGCAACGAACTAATGCACAGTCTGAACCGAAATGGAAATTGAAATTTTGAAGAGTATAGGTGATGGATTTAGCGTGGATTCACCATGTGAGAGAGAATGACTCATAACACTATTCCAAACTACAAAGAGAACAGAACCACCAACTCTTAATTTCGAAGCCAGTCAAAACTCAAACACAACATAAATCGACTGGAATTACAAACTCTCTTGTGTTAAACAAGCATATATATATATATATAGGGTTGGGTTCCGGTGAGAAGGAGAGTGAAGGTGAGAAGTGTAAGAAGGGATCTCCACCTTTGAAGGTGGGTCTGAGAACTCCAAAATTTGTGCGATCCGTGAGAACTTCCACCTTAAGGTTTTCTTTCACATGATTTTTTTCATCTGAGTATAGTATTTAATGTATTGATTAACATATATTCATGGTTTTGCGGCCCAAAACTACATCTGAGGCGGCACCTCTTGGACCCTGGACGAGGCTTATGCCTTGGTTTAGTGAGGCGATGTCGATGCGTACTGCTACTTCTCTTTATAGTATAAGAGTTTCTTTGTATGTATTTTTAAAAACTAAAAGTCAATGCACGATGGCCCCAATGTGTACTTTTAATATTTTAAAACCCAAAAAGCTAGTACTTTCTTCTCTCAGTCAAAAAGTGTGGTTGGACCCTTCCTCTACCGCCAAGCAACCAATTTTTTCACACCCTTTCAGCCTATTTCATAGTTTCACTCTTTCTTCTGTCAAGAACCGCTGAACCAACACATCTTATCATATTAGTATTATATATAGTATATATACACAAATGTATATATTTTTATGTAGTACACATACATATATTGGTGCATCTATATTTCCACCTCGTGTTGACGCCTCAGAGCGCCTTGAGGCTTACGCCTTGCCTCATTGAGGGAAAACGCCTCGAGGCACTCCACCTTTTAAAACCTTGCATATATTTGTTTCACATTCTGTTTGTTTCATATGTACTCAGTTCACAATGTGAAACTTCTGTACGTATACTTTTTTATTTCACAAACACGTCAAAATGTTTACTTTGTGAACCTACTACATGTGAAACAAATATATGTTAATCACTACATTAAATTCTAGCTATAGCTGAAAAAATTCATATAAAACAGTACATGATGCACGGGTTCTCAGAGATACTACGATTTAGAGAGTTCTCAAAAGAAGGCCCCCCTATATATGTAATTGAACTCTAATTCTTGGGGGATCAAGCATTTACGTGGGTTGAACTATATTATTTCATAACCTTAATTTCAATGTGACCACTTAAGCATATTTCAATATACCCATATATCCACATATGTATTACATGGTACACCTCTGGTTTTTATGTCTTGATTAACTTGTTATAGTTGTTATCACAACACAAGTAAAGAAGCTATTGCCTTTTGCTTGCAGTAGGCTCTAGAAAGCTCGGAGTTGAGGGAAATGGCGGCCACACCCATGTTGCCACCGAATCTAGCCCCTGGGAATGCTAATTTCGACGGAAATGCTGCAGCGGCTCCACCAACGCCAGGGACAGACATGACCGGAATATGCTTTAGGGATCAATTGTGGTTGAACACTTACCCACTGGATCGCAATCTCGTCTTTGATTACTTTGCACTTTCGCCTTTCTATGATTACACATGCAACAATGAACAACTCAGGATGCGCTCAATTCATCCCCTAGACATCTCCCATCTATCGTAAGTTTTTGGTTCCATTTAGTTTTCCATCATTAGAGATGCTACTATTTATATATGTCGTTGCATGTGGTTTTATGTGTTTTTCTATGAGTTATATCATTTTTTGAAGTACATGTGGCGTTGTTCTTTAAAATGCTTCTCTCCAAAATCATAAGGGTTCGTTTGGTTTGCGGGATTTGGAATTGGACTCCATTCCAATCCCCCATTTGGTTTAGAGGAAAGTCCAGAATTGAAATCCCGGGATTTCAATGAAATCTCACAAACATGGGATTTAAAAATCCCAGAGGGGTAGTTGGTATTTCACGGGATTTTGTAGGATTTCATAGGATTTGATTGTGATAATGTTTTAAAATATATTAAAAACACTTGTTTGTAATAATCAATTAATAAAAAGGTAATTTTATTTTTTTATAGTTTGTTTCTATAAATTTGTTTCTATAAATTATTTAAAAAGAATAGAATTCAATTTCCATTCCAAATCCCTAAGATTTCTTTCAAACCAAACAGACCCTATGTTTGTATTGGTTTACGAGGTGGTACTCACTTTTTCAAGCGAAAAGTAGTATGAAAACTATCGGGATAACATGGGCTATGAAAATTAGTATGAAAACAATAGGAACGAGATGGTTGACTCGGCTCTTTATTTATAGTAAAATGACAGGAATAGAGTTTATGGTGAGCGAAGTTATGGAGCCCCACCTTTTTGTGATGCGTAAGCAGAAGAGGGATGGTCCCGAGAAAGTCACTCCAATGCTTACATACTACGTGCTAGATGGTTCAATATACCAAGGGCCGCAGCTTTGCAATGTCTTTGCAGCTCGGGTTGTATGTGCTTCTTCCCTCATTTGTTCATTTTGTAGCCACGTTTTGTTTTAATTTGGTTGTATATACAGGGCCGAGCTTTGTATCATATATCAAAGGCATTTACCACTGCAGCCTCAAAGTTGGAGAAGATTGGGTATGGTAAGCTTGGCATTCCTCATGTTTTTAAGTATATAATATTTATATACAACGAATATTTGAACCCTCGACTTTTTGGAAGGCTGAGCTCTACTGGTAACCTGGGTACTGTTGGGCCAATGACCCTTTTCTTTTCTGTAGCTTTTGTTTGATCGTATTTATTTTGGAAATTCACTTATTAATTTGTATGATGTAGTGGACTCGGAGAATGAGGGTGTGTCCCTTGAACCAAAGGCTGCTAAGGAGAGTATTGACTTTAAGGAAGTTAAGCGGGTAGATCACATTCTTGCCTCTTTGCAACGCAAGGTAAACCGAGACCTTATCTTTATTTAGTCTGCATAGTGTATAGCTTCCAAAAGTGTGTGGGATCGTATATATTTGTACTTGTGTCTCATGCATATTTAGTTGACGGCATCATCAATTTAGCTTCTTGTTTTTGTCTATTGCTAAGGGATTAGAGTAGCAGACTAGATGTGGGGGTCCTATAGCTAGCGTGGTTGGTCCCCCCCCCCCCCCCCCCTCCTGAGGTGACCCTACTTTCGAGTGAGATTTATTGGATCTGTTTGGTTTTCATTTATTGCTTAGGAGTGTGTGAAAGCATTTGTGATCGTGTGATGAGTTCGTCGTTAAGCTTTTTAGTAGAACTTGTCTCTCTTTTCTGAAGGTCGTATGAGGTTCATTCTTGTGTGTATGTGTGATTTAAGATTGATGTATCTTTGATTCTCTCTCTAAAAGAGTCCATACACACAGACACAGACACCTTTTGTTAACCGTCTAATTAGTAAAGACTTTGTTAACCAGGGTATTTTCGTCTTTTTCATATATTCATATCACATCAATTAATGACCTCATTTACTTTGTTTAAACTTTCTTAATTATCTTATTGACTTTCTGGTTTCACCTATATTGGAACAACATTATGAACTGTTTCACCTTTGAACTTTTAGGTTTCACCTGTGAATTTAGGTAAAATCGGAACAATGGAAGTTCATATATGAAACAACACACTATATGAACTTCAAACAAACACCGTATATGAAACATGATTATCTTCCAAAAATAAATTATTATTATCTATCAAAAATAAAAACAAGTTGTTCTAAAATTTCCCTCCATTTAATTCAATCTAATTTCTTTCCTTTTTCATCATTTTATAACCTCCTATTTAATAAAAAAAAATGAACTGCTTGTTTGTAAAATTAATACAATTTTCTTGGTTAACAAACGATCGTACCTCTCTCACTCTGTTTATATGTAAAGTATATATATATATATATATATGTGTGTGTGTGTGTGTATAGAGAGAGGGGGAGGAGGCTCAACGTATATACAGGTTTGATGGTCTACATCTAGGTATGAATTATGGGAGGGTCGAGAGTCTTCAGATATGTTATGGTATCTTTTGATAGGAATAAGAAGTTTTTTTGGTGTGTTCTGCATACATTTTAGCTACGTAGACTCCTTGCATTCTCTTGTAATTCCGTCTTGTTGGGTTTGTTTGGTTTGGTTTTAACTGATTTTTTTTGTATTAAACGTAACTTGGTGTACAGCTTCCACCTGCACCTCAACCACCACCATTCCCAGAGGGTTATGCACCACCAACCACCACCGAAGGAGAGCAGGCCCCTGAAGCGGAGCAAGCAGACCCCAAACTTCCTCTCGTTGACCCGATCCTTGACCAAGGTCCATCCAAGAGACTGAAATATACTTGATCTTATATCAGATGTTTCAGCAAAGGTGTCCACCTCCTTACCAAGGGTAAAGCAATAAGAAAACACATGCATCGGATGTTCAACATAGGATGGTGACTTCAAACCGCAACTTTGTGCATACGAGGTTTATGGTATCAATTTATGTCCACTTTCGGTTTTTCTTTTACGTTCAAATTGTGTTCGATGTGTAACGTCTGGTCTGGTATTGGTTGTGGTTATAGATTATGAGCTTTTTGTGGGTAATTAGTAGGTGGGCTGGTAAATGATATTTCAATATAGATTTGGTTAATTTGAATGTTATTTTTTTTATTGAATTGTTTTTGGGATACTGTAATTTTCCTCTCTATGATGGACGTGGACCGGTTCGGTGGGGTGCTACGGAGGGTGACGTATACCCCCATCTTGATTCTTATTTTGGGTAACGTATTTTTAAATTTTCCATTTTAAATATTTAAGTATCTGGGTAACTGGTTGAAGACTAATTTTAGATTAAAAATAATCCATATCATCAACCACGTTAGCAAATAATACTGAGTTGGATAATGGATACCACATCATTCGTCACATGAGCATGATAATCGATTAACGCTTTAACCAGTTGTTCAGGTACTTAAATGTTTAAAATTTTACATCTTATGTACTAAAACAAAAGTTTTGAAAGTACGTTACCCAAAATATAAATCAAGTTAAAATAGATTACTTTTTTATGCAATTTGCCCAAACTGAAAAGACTATTCCTTACCTTTTAAATCGAAAATATATTAAATATAACAAAATTTAGATGTTAACAAATTATACAAAAATAACGAGTATTTTATTATCTCAAAGTTGATATTTATATTATTATATTTTATTCTCTTAAATTTGAAATTTACATTATTATATTTCTTTTATCCGCTTATTTATATTCACATATCTTTAGCCTTTTTTAATCCTTTTTACTTTCGTTTTTCAAATTTTAGTCCGGGAATCTCTAACAACAATATTATACTTTTTCTAAAATAAAGTATTAGAAATCAAAATCCTTTAAAAAAAATACATCTAATTCTAACGTTTACTTTTTATCAAAATATTCAATAATATATTAAATATAATATCATTTTTCTCTCCTAAACATTTATTTTTAATAATTTTTGTTGGTCAAAAAAGATTAAAATATTATTTATTTCTTCTACATAAAAATTTACAGATTTCTTCAAAGAGTAAATTGCATGAAAAAATAATATATCTTATTTTAGGTAATATACTTTCTAAACTTTCATTTTGGTGTCTAAAAGAGATGCAAAATTTAAACATTTAAGTACCCGAGTAAGCGATTGATGCATTAGTCAGTTAACATGTTGATGTAGGAAGTGATGAGATGAAATTGGGTTAAATAATAAATAATATTATACAGGTACTTAAATATTTAAAACTTTATATTTTAGGTATCAAAATATATATTTTGAAGGTACGTTACTCAAAATAATAATCAACTTAAAATACGTTACATTTTCATGTAATTTGTGCTTTTTCAAATTTAAAGATTTCTTTTCTCTCTTCCTTTTTCTATTTTAACATTAGAGAAAAAAAAATGGTTAAATCTCCAAAATCTCTACTCCGTCGAGATTCTCGTTATCAGCTTAAACTATGGATTATTCGA